AAATCAAACGAACGGAAACATATAAGTACTTAGGTGCACACTTTAACTGCTCCAACATGCTTAGAGAAGAAATACAATCTAGAATACAATCTAGAAATAAAGTATACTATGCCCTTCAACATCTGCTAAAGTCTCAGTGTCTGTCTCGCAACACCAAGATCAAAATATATAAAACGTTCATAAGACCAGTCGTTTATATGGCTCTGAAACTTGAAGCAGAAATAAAAGAAATGAGGCATTATTACAGGTTTTCGAAAGCAGTATTACGACAAATCTTTGGACCCATCAAAGATGCTAACAGCGGGGAATAGAGAGGGAGAAGCAACAATGTAACACATAATCTGTTTAAATAACCATCGATCACTGGCACAATTAGAGATAACAGACTAGAATGGTTGGGGCATATTGAAAGAATGTCAGATGACAGAGAAGTAAAACTGTATACACCTGAGAGAGGAATGGGCGTAGACCACGAGGCAGACAAAAACGAATATCGAGAGATAATGTCCAGCCAGACCTACAAATGATTGGTGTCACAAATTGTGAAGAGAAGGCCAGCCAGAAAGATGAATGGAGACGAGTGATATCTGCAGCAGTAACCCTCAAGGGCTCAGAATGCTAAAGAAGAAGATAACTATTTTGTGCTACTTTATGTGAAGTAAAAGTTCAGCGTACTTTTGACATTATGAATGTGTGGGGTTTTTTTTTGTGTGTGTGGGGGTGGGGGGGGGGGATATATTTTATACACTATTCGTATTCGTATTCGACCGAATAGTGAAAATCACGATTCGGTACAGCCCACTTCTTTCCATAAATGGGGAACGTTGCCTCTGGTACTACAATAATTAATGATCTGCAGCAACCTTGTTTTGGCTGTTATCACAAGGTTCTTGATCATTTCGTTGGTTATTCCATCAATTCCAGATCACTTTCCCATTCTCAGCTTTGATATTGCTAACCCTAGCTTCGGCAAAAGAATCTGCAAAGCGGTCAGCTGCCTGTTCTCCTTGTTAGAACTGCTCCTTCTTTGCATAGTGTAATATTCGCATTTCTACCTCTACTCTCATCATTAATTTGTTGTACTAACATTCACAGCTTCTTTGTGTCTCTTTCAAAGTTCAGAGACTTTTTTTTTTTTTTTTTTTTTGCCTTTCAGCTTTTCCGTCTAGCCTGAAGCTTGGCTGTTTGAAATGTGGCTTTGGCATGTTGGTATTTGTTGAACTGTTCTTGACGAGGTCTGGTCTCAGTTTGCTTTCTTTCTGTTTCCATAGCATTGTGCAGTTGCCGGGAGTGCGGAGAGTGGCCAGGGGGTGCTGCGGAGGTGGAAGTCTAACAGTTGATTCACGACTATTCACGCCTAGGTGATCTGATTATCTATACAGATGGTTCGGTGGTGAGAGGAAAGAGAAGAGCCTGGGAGTTCGTAGCGAAAGCCAATGGAAAATCTTTAGTGCAAGACAGGCGTTAGCGCAATGGATAGGAGGTTAGCTTTCAAATCCAACTGCATCCCGTGTGGGTTCCAGGGCCCTATTATATAGCGAAAACATGAATAGACTAATAAGGCGCTTCGTTCGAAGTCGGGGTGCATCTGCCTGAGAGAAAAGGAACCAACAGTTTGCACACAAATGCGTAAGATCTGTCAAACGGATGCACAAGCAACACTTAGATTCTGGAACAGGACTGCAGTCCATAACTTTCCACCAGAATTTGCATCTGGTGTACTCAAAGAAGAAGACAAAGAAGAAATCCAGCTGCGACTCGCTGCAGCCCACAGTCGGTGTTCGAAACCGGGAGATTTCCTGGGTTCACTCAGCCTCTAGGAAATGTGTACCAGGTTAACACTCTGGGGTAAATGGAGGAACGTCGATGCAGCTACGGAGTTGCGTGAGGACGGCAGCACAGGCAGACAGTTTCTTATCAGCTCTCCGTACTGGTGGCAGAGCACTTGTGGTTTATAACAGTGTGCAATGATGCTGGTTCACATCTCCCCACTTTACCTTTACCTTTACAGCCTAGCATACGTCATCATAACATCTAGCATGAGAATGGAGGTGGATGCGGTAACTGCAGGTCTCCGGTGGCTAGAAATCTAGATAGATACAAATGTCGTAATTATAACAGACTCTGAAAACATGCTGAGAAAGGTGAAGACTGGGATGCTTTGAGCAGAGTGGCAAGCTTCACTGGGAAGGTCACGGGTAGTGAGCACACTTTGAATCTTTACTCCAGACAATGCCGGCGTAGTGGGTAATGAACAGCTAGACAGATTGGCTGGATCTGCACCACTGGGTGGTAAACTGATACATGACAAGGCAGATGTGGTCAAGGCCCTTTGGGAACAAGCAACGGATTTAGTAGAGACTCAAGATTATTATGGCCTGTAGAGAATGAGGCACCTGGGTGTAACCAGAGGGTCTTGCCTATTCACTACACCTAGAGGAAAGGCAAGACGGGCGTATAACCAGATTGTGACAGGTACTATCAGTATTGGAACTTTGCGCTAGCTGCTGAAGATGAGGACGGAGCACGCATGTGAATGCCCCGAGTGTTGTGATATCAATTCTGGACTCAACTCAACTGTGTAGTTGCTCTAGGTCACAATTCTAGTATGGTTTATATTAGGGCTATACCGAATAGTGATTTTCATTATTCGACCGAATACGAATTGTGGGACCAACTATTCGGCCGAATAGTGTATCATTATCATCAGGTGTCTTGCCGACTGGCGTGGGCGATCATGCCTCTCCACAATATGCGATCTCCTGCAGCATGTATCAATTCATGTGCCGACACACCTCCATGCCATGCAACAAGACTGTCAAGAATCATCTCTCGCTGTCTTCCTCTATACCTCCCTCCACATATCTTTCCAGTGGTCACCACATGGTCCTTTTTACCCTCTTCTCATAACATGGCCGAAAAATGACGACCGTCTCCTTCTGATGTCTGTGATTAGTTGTCTTCGGGCTCCCTCCTCTTTCAAAACCATCGTTCGCTTCGGCCGTTCGTTCGATGTAATTTAAACGCACCTTCATATTCTCGTTAGCAATATCTTCAAATTTGATTTGGGCGAAGACGTCCTGAAAGAACGAAAAATGCATGATCTCTCTCTCTCTCTCTCTCTCTCTCTCTCTCTCTCTCACACTCACTCACTCTCTCTCTCTCTCTCTCTCTCTCTCTCTCTCTCTCTTACACACATATATACACAAGCAACAACAGCAACAACAACAACAAAAGAACGTATTGCCTTTAAATATAAGTGATTACTTGACGAGGCTAAAAGTTACTATTGTACAGACCAAATTTTCCACTTTAAAATTTTAGCCAAAATGTAATCACAACCTTACTTATCCTTCACGAATACAGATGGAGGATTGGTCGCACCTCGAGATAAATACAAAGACAATGTTTAGCACGCTGCGGTTTGCATTTTATGCAGTATGATAAACTTTGAGTGTGAAAAAAAAGAAAAAATAACTTGTTTCGACAGTTACAGTGACAGTGGAAAGACAATTTAAATTTTAACTTTTAAGTATCTTTATGCCTTCTTCAAAAATGTCACAATTTGTAGTTGACTTTCCTTGATTTTCGCTGCTTCACCCCTGGCATACGCACCCAGTTTGAGGACCTCTGCTGTAAAGACTCGGTCGGGTCAGCAGGGCAAAGACATTGCCAGCTGCTGTACCACGCAGCCGGGTCGCAGTATCGTCCACTACGACAGACTTAGGCAACTACTGTGTTAATGAGAGAGTTATTTCAGTCCATGGCAATGTATGCAGAAACGGGTGTAAGGTAAACCACTATTCGTATTCGGCCCGACCGCAAGTATTCGGCCGAATACCGAATAGTTATTAGGTCCACTATTCGGCCCCGAAGCGAATACGAATACGAATATTCGGTACAGCCCTAGTTTATATTGTTTACACGCACCTCTTAGTATTGTTTCTATGGCTGCTTGCAGTATGGATTTGCTGAACTCATAATTTGTGCGGTGCTGATACAACTTCCAATCTGCCTTCTTATAATTCCATCTTGGCAGAGTGCTCCTCTCTCTTACAAACTGGCTTTCTACAGTTAGAAAGACTGGCAGGTGGTCACTGCCTCCTAAATGTTTCCCAACAGTTCTAGTAACATTCAGTTCCATGTCTGGTGAGTGAAAGGCCAGGTCTGGTGTCGAGGTGGTATGCAATGCTACTGAGAAGAAAGTAGGTGGGTCGATTAGCTAATTAATTAGGATGAATCTGTTCTCATCCTGCCGGTCCTCCAGTTTCTCTCCTTCTGATCCATGTGATCCGACTTTGGGATTGGGCATTGAAATCACATTGTGTATAAAAAACCTTAAAAATACAGTCAGTGAACGATCATAATGGGAGACTGCAACTGAGATTTATGGTGTAAACAACTATAACATTTGACTACATTTGATGTGTTTTTGGGGAAACAAAATTAAACTGATATCTTCCATTTGATATTATTCATATTATGCTATATCAGAATGAAAGGCTACAGTCTGATGTGATTTGTGTTACGGAGGATCGTGATGAAAGGCTAGCACTATGATTTATGGCATACACGATTACAGCATTTAGCTGCAATTGATGTGATTTATGTGCAACAAAATCACAGTCAGACTCTATAGTTTGATACGGTTTACGTCATACTAGATCACAATGAGATGGCGCAGACTGGTTTGATTTATGTTACAGTTTTAATAACATATTATAGACTGATTTATGGCGTACACAATTATAGCGTTTGGCTACAACTGATTTGATCTGTGTGATACAACGTCGGAATGAGAGGCTACAGTTTGATGTGATCTATGTCAAACAATATCACAGTGAGCGGCTATAGTGTAATGTAATTTATCTCATGCAAGATCGCAGTGTGAGGCTACAACGTTTGTGGTTTTTATCATTCACAATCACAATGTGAGAGAACAGCCACTTGTGGTTTATGTCATACGAAACTTCTGGTGTAACTGACGGAGACGTGCCTCCATGTTGGCCAGAACTGGCACCATCGTTAGAAAACATCGAAGACGCTCCAGCACAACCAGCAGACATGGTGCCAGGAGAGAGTCTACAGCAACGCCGAGTCCATCCGTGTGTCCAACACCCTCTCCGTCTCCCAGTTTCAGCTTGTTTGCTTACGATCATGGAGGGCAGTATTCATCAGGGCCCCTGCCTCCTAACACCTTCCCTATACCCTTCCTGCCTTCTGAATCAGCAAATTTCCCTAACGCGCATATCAAGGCTGTCACATTCAGTTTCGATGTCAGACAAGTAAATAGTCAGCTGGGTTTGAACAAGGTCAGTAATACACACAATTACACAATTTTAACACGTGTTTGCAATAATGAGCAAAAAATTTTTTTTATTAATTAACTTTGGTATTTTGCTACAAAAGTATGACCGAGGTGCGGAGTCAATGTAAGCACTGCTTACAGGTGCTCGACCTATACACATTTGGGACAATACGTTACCTGAGAGTGCTCTGATGTATGAAGTTCTGCAGGCTGGCGGAGATTTCTCCTGTTCGATTAGAATTAGGTGTTGAACTTTCAAGTTTTAATCCCAGAAAAAAAAAAAAGGAGGCGCTAGGGGTAGAGGGAGGAAAGCTTACACCAAAAAAGTGTTAAATTTATTTAGCATAGCTTAGTTTTAAACTTTAATGTTTCTATTAAATTAATTTTAATTCAGCCAAACAGTGACCAGCCGTAAGAACATTTTTGAAACGCGAGATAGAACAAAATATAACTAATTAGGTTTTTGTTAGTTAGGATGGTCTATTCCGTAACGTGGGAATGGATGTTAGGGTTTATGCCGACACAATTGTACCGGTTATTGATGATAGGGTAGGTGAATCAACTGGACAGTCACAGAGTGGAATGAGAAAGTGGAGGAGCCAAATGGTTTTTTCATTAGTAATGATGTGTGATAGTGATGAGACTGGCCATGTATGTTTTAGTTTTCTAATTAGCATTAAGTTTGTTGGTGTTGCGAGCGAGACCATGGCGGTTACTTTCTTTACTTTAGGTTATTTATTGCCTTTGACGATGTGGAAACTTGAAATAAGATACATCAGAAAAGGTGAGATGTCGTTTTTGTTAAAATGTGTAGGGGACTACTGAAGACTGATTTTGTGTGTTTTGTTGAAACCTGATATTAGTTCATAGTAGGTTTTTTTTTTTTTTTTTTTTGTATAAAAAACATAGAGCACATTTAAAAAAAAAACTAGGTCTTTTTTTTTTTTTATATACATTAAAAACAAATTTATTCAGACGTTTTAAGAGTATTACAGATAGGGTTTGCGTGGTTCTATTTTTAACATTCACAGAGCAGAACGAGCACCTACTGAAACAGTTCGTTAATAGATAACTCTATCAACTTGGCGTGCATTATCGGAATACTTGTCGTTTGCAGACTGGACTGGAATTTTCCAGATTACAGATATGGGATACCTGTGTGTCTATCACTTTGTAAACTTTTTCGATGTCGGACATTTTGCAACCTTTTTCTTTAATCACTGTGATAAACTTTTTAAAACCTTTTTTTAAAGTTGATCATCCTGCCTGTTATGTCTTGCACTATTGACAACTCTGCCATCTCTTTTACAAATGCTTACATTTGCAATCATTTCAGTGTTGTATAAATTTTCAAGTTGCTTGTTTTTTTACTGTTGGTTAACGTGTCAACTTTTAGTTGAGGGCATCTTGTTAACTGTTTTCACTGACGGACTTTCCAGCTCCTTCAAAACCATTCAGCTTGTGAGGTCTTTCACAGTCAACAGCTTCCCAATAATTTCACTATAGAACACCTTATCAACCGATGACGTCTGTTACGTTCTTAATTTGTATGTATCCTTGTCTCTTACGTTGTTAATGTATTTTTCTTCGGATTTTTGTGCTCCTAATTTATAGTTCTTCCTGCTTGTTGTGCTATTAATGTATATTTCTTCTTGTCTTTTACGTTGTTAATTTATATTTCTTTTTGTCTGTAACAGACTTCGTCGGCTATGACAGGACCAGGTAGACGGATATAGAGACAGTTGAATGGACGAGACGGATAGGTTGTTAGACGAGGAGACTGACTTTTAAAAATCGAGCCCTTTGATTTGTAAAAACACCCTGTGTGTTTAAGCAATCGTCCAGTTGGACCGCATGAAAAAAGTTGACAAGCTGGTCGCCTCAAAAACAAAACAGGGAAATGATGTTCGACATTGAAAGAAAAAAAAAGTGACTTGATGTACGAAAAAAAAAAAAGAGTTGAAAAGGTGATCTGTGTAAACAAAGTTGAAAAGATGTCCGACAGTAAAAAAATTAGACAAGTTGATTCAATAGTGTATTAAGTGAGTTTTTTAAGTTCATAAGCAGTGACACATTTTGATATTATGAACGTTTGTGAAAGAGTTGACAGTTTGACCGAAAATGAAAAATATTATAAGCAAAAGTTAGCAAAATCATCGCCGTAAAATTGAAAAACAGTGTACTTCGGTGGGCGAAAAGTCACAATGGTCTCCCATAGTGAAGGAGCTTACACGTTGACTTACCGTGAGGAACATGGTAAATGTAGGACAGTGAAAGATGTACCTAGTTGAAAAATTATCAAACAATTTTCTTTTTAATTCCAAGAACACATATTGTGAGTAACGTTTGCTTGCAGATTTTTCTGCTCAGGCCAAACTACTACATAGAGTGGAAGGTATGGGGCAGTAAATATTGAACGCAAAACCAAATCATCATCATTAGACTGGCGTAGGCGATCATGCCTCTCCATAATATGCGATCTCCTGCAGCATGTATCAGTTCGTGTGCTGACACACCTCCATGCCATGCAACAAGACTGTCAAGAATCTTCTCTCATTGTCTTCCTCTATCCATACTTCCAAATATCTTTCCAGTGGTCACAACATGTTATATTTTCCCTCTTCTCATAACATGGCCGAAAAATGATGACTGTCTCCTTCTGATGTCTGTGATAAGTTGTCTTCGGGCTCCCGCCTCTTTCAAAACCTCTTGGTTGCTCTTTTTAGCTGTCCATGTATTCTAAGCTTTCTTCTGTAAAACCAGATCTAAGAGGCCTCAAGAAATTGTTTGGCCTGCCTACCGATTCTCCAGGATTCACAGCCATATGTTAAAACTGGATGTATGTAGCAAGCAAGAATTCGTATTCTAACTCTAAATGTCAAGGATATATTGCACAAGATGATTTTTCAGTTTATAAAATGCAGGTTTTGCCTGTCCTGTTCTGTTTCTTATTTCAGTTATGCAGCTTCCATCTGATGTTATCCATGTGCCCAGACACTTAAATTTCTGTACTTGTCCTAAAAAAACACCATCAACTTTTATTACACACTTAGGAATAATTTGTTTCTTTGATAACACCATTACTTCTGTCTTCCCATTATTCAAACTGAGGCCCATTCTTCCACTTTCTAACAGCACAATGTCTATTATTTCCTGTAGTTCTTTCTGACTTGAGGCTATCAAGACTGTGTCAACAGCATAACGTAAATTGTTTATATTGTGCCCACCAAAGACAATTTCGGGCATACCAATTAAAGCTCTCATTATATATTCACTGTATATTGAAAACAAATCAGGTGACAGTACACATCCTTGTCGTACGCCCCTCTTTGTGCTTTGAAATGTACCTAAACAGTTGTTAATTCCTATAGCTGCTGTCGCTGCCAATACATATTCTTTATTATTCGTAGATATTTCCCATCAATGTTTAATTTTTCTAACAGTTTGATTACTTCTTCATGCTTCACACAGTCAAATGCTTTTGTATAGTCTATGAAGCACAAGTACAAATCAGTCTTTACTTCTATAACTCTTTCTGACAATGTCCTTAGGATGTATATGGCATTGTTTGTACCCTTTCCTCTAACAAATCCACAATGTTCATCGCTGATTTCTGGATATCCAGTTATATGCTTTATTTTACATTTTACAGGTGATCTGGTTCAGTCAATGTCTACTATTAGCTAGCAGGTCCAGCAAGATTTGATGACATGTATCAAACACGTCTATTCCCTTCCACTCAGTTACGTTTCAGTCCTGTTTCCTTTCACACTTAATACACCCAATGGTAGATTCAGCAATTCTGATCATGGCGGTTAGACTTGGTCAGTTGGAACTTGTCTGCTACCACTTCTGATTAGGCTGTCATCAAGCTGTCGTTTGGATGTCTTCTCGTGAAACAGAATCTTCTTCACGTCTTCAAATATACAGTGTCACATTCACGCGTCTATCAGATAAAACCTTTCACGCCAGCTGCCAAACACATACTAACTGATTAGACCTTGGTCTAACCTTACAACTCTCGTTCTTGGTTTCACATGCTGGTCTGAGCCCTGTTTGTATATATCATGTGTCTACGAGTATTCACATTCTCATTATTTCTCTCCTATCTCAAGGCTACTCCCATATTATTATTTAGAGAAAATACAAACATTACAGTCTGTATCCTTGGTGTTATTTGGGTGCTCAATGTACAGTGCAGCTCCTTCATTTCTACAGGTGGTTTGTGATGAGGCACGTATGTTGACACGAACCCAAAGATCCTTGGGGTATTCTTCATCAAGTAGATAGTTGTTTTACGTTGCACACTGTTTTGTTCTAACTCGTCAAATACTTGTTTCACTTCTGTCTGAATGTGTAATGGCAGCTGATGTTTGTGTCTCCAGGGAGGTACGATCTGAAGGAGCATTTAGGAGGCTATCAGTTGCAGGCAGATCATTGGTTTATATGCAGAGTCGTTAGGCCTGGTGACTGAAATGATTCTTCATGGTGATTCATTTCTTGATTTTGGATTCTTTCATTCATAGTGTGTCCAGGTATACTAAAAAAAACTTGTCGGGTGGAAGAGTAATGCAATCTTCCTAAAGTCTTCCTCATTCATATAGTTCACGTTGTAACATGGAGACGACATTGTTTATTTGTCAGGAGGAAGGATATTGCGTATTAGCTAAAGGGACCGAAGTCAACAGATCTGAGCAATCTGGACATTCCTTTCTAGAACCATCATTTGTTTCTTGTGGTGAAAAATATCTTTGATTTCACTAACACTGTTTACTAATGACTGTTTGATTCTTTGTATTCGTGTCTGTGTTAATCCAAGATAATAAATGGTTGATGTATGTATGTAAGCTTTACCCCATGGACATCACACATGTGATAAACACCCGGTGACACACAGTGCCACCATGCAGATGAGGATCACCCGTTAGGCCATATTTCGGGCCCCTCTATATTTAGGGCCCCCGGCAAAAACGAGAGTGGGGCTTTAAAATAACTAAAAACTGCATCCCACAATGGGATTACGAGATAAAAATGATTAATCTTTTACAGCAGACCATTATAGAGGATAATGTCAGCACATCACTTTCTAACTCAGTCAAGTGTAGGATTTGTTTATATACCAGTGGCCCATGGCATATACGATGCTATATATATTTGCATTGACTAAAGTTTACTCAGTGAGTGTCCTGTGGTGCTAATTTTATGCACACCGTCTTTACTTCCTATGACATTGCCTGGTACCTATTTTCGGCTAGCTCGACCTAGAAACTAAAGTCAATTTTGAAGACACAACAATCCGCTCTGATGCGGATCTGAACAAAAGAGTTTCAGACCGACACTATGCTACTGCAGCTGCAGGACTAAACTAGGTGACCCGGACAGTTTCAGAAATGCAGCAATTGCAGCAATTGCACACCCCATGACCTTAGATCGAACATTGATGTTTTTAGATATTTTTGCTGAATGGATGGGAATAAAGAATTGCGTTAATTGTTTGGATTTAACCCCGATCACTGTTTCTGCAAGTATGTATATCAGATAACTGACTGGATTGCTTTAACCCTTACCCAGGCCTAAGATTGTTTGTCAGGCAATTAAAGGATGTAAGTGTATGTAAATGATTGTGTGTGTTTGTGTCTTTGTATGCTCGCATAAGTATGTGTCTCCATGCCCTCACTTAATGGCCTTCTGACCCTCATACAAAGCATTTTCATTCCCACCCTATGTTACCAGTGCCAGACGTGGTCACTCACAACAAACCATTAAAACGTTAGTAGCAATGGAAATGAGGTGTTTGAGAAAGACTGAAGGATTGAACAGAGAAGATAAAATCAGGAGGTCAAACGAGATACAGTCGTCACAGAACCAATAGGAAGACAGCAAATCAAATGGTTTGCCCACTTGGAGAGAATGCCTTATGATGTTATGCCATTCAATGCATATACCAAAAGAGGAGAGAGACGTAGAGCAAGAAGTAGACCAAGAACATTATGGAAAGATAACATCAGACAAACACTACAGTACAACGATGTGTCGAAGTAGCTGGAAAAGCTCGTAGCAGGACCATATATCTCTCAGGACACACAAAGCCGTAAAAGAGGACGTAAAGAAAAAGAAGATGACACCAAGCCTGTGAACCGTGACGGGTACACTCATTATTACTTCCTTGGAGACTGAACAGGGTATATGATCTTGCTCCGTTGTTCTGCCACCAGCACTGAGACCGTTTGAGTCTTACGGTGTCAAAACCTCAGGTCCTGTTTGCCACCAGCGCTGAAAGCGGCCGAGTCTTACGGTGTAAAAACTTCAGGTACTGTTTGTCTGCCAGCCGGATTGAGATCTTTTGATCTCATGGCGTCAGACCATTCAGGTAGCATCCCGTTGAACATAAACGACAGGCACGCAGGCATGTCTTGAGCCTTGGTCGGTGTATATAGTAGTAGCACAGTGTTTTTATAGAATCGACACTGGGTGAGTAATTGGAGCAATATCACGATGGCATTCTGTAAGTTTGTGAAAATTTTTATAGTCTAAATTTTAGCTTTGGTCAGTCAGAGATGCAGTTTGAAACATCCGCTTCTTTAAATGTCTAAATTAGGATTATTAGGCAGGCAGAAATAATGCCATGTACGCCATTTGTCATCTTTGTTTTGGACGCAGTAATGTAGCCTGTTGTGTCACATTTAAAGCATTTGCAGTTCCGCTTGTTACATAATTTTTCAACTCTTCCAAACAGTTGACCCCGCCTCCGTCGGAAAAACCTATATATGAGAGCACTGTGATATGGGCAGAGGTTGAGGACACAGACACTCACTACTCGGTGATTGGAAGCTTGTGTGAAGCCAGCATAGAGGCCAGGCATCCATGTGATTTTATACACAGGTCTATGTTCATACTCAGTAGGACATGTAAGTGCTTTCTATGTGTAAAATTATTAGGTCGACAAATTCAGAGATGGCAGTTGAACTGTAAACCACAAGAAGAAGAAGAAGAAGACGAAGAAAAAGAAGAAGAAGAAGAAGAAGAAGAAGAAGAAGAAGAAGAAGAAGAAGAAGAAGAAGAAGAAGAAGAAGAAGAAAAAGAAGATGATGATGATGATGATGATGATGATGATGATGATGATGATGATGATGATGATGATAAGATGAAGATGATGATGATGATGATGATGATGATGAAATGAAGAAGAAAAAGGAAGAAAGTTAAAGAAAGAAAAAAGAAAAAAGAAGAAAGAAAAAAAGAAAAAGGAAGAAAGAAAAAGGAAGAAAGACGAAAGCAAAAAGAAACAAAATCAATAAAGAAATTAAGAAATACAGAAAAAAAAGAAAGAAGAAGAAAGAAGACGAAAGAAGAAAGAAAAAGAAAAAGAGGAAGAAGAAGACGCAGGGGGATACTGATGATAATGATGATGATGATGATAATTGTAACAATGGGGATGATGATGATGATGAAGGGAGCGATGATGATGATGATGTTTTTACAAAGACAAATAGGTAAATACAGGGAAGCACATGTGCATGTGAAAATGGAACCACGACTCAACTATTGTTTCTTATTTGGAAAGCGCTTGTGGTTCAATTTTCACAAAAGCCACAAGGTCTTCAAATATGTGCTAGAATACTTCATCTCGAGTTATTTCTTCCTACTGGTACAGGTCCAGGCCATACACAGATTTAAACGTTTCTCGAGAATTGTTTGATAATTGTCCGGGAAAGAACAGCCGCCATGAACGTATTGGCATCCCAATCCTGTGTGTTTTGAATATGTCAATGTCTAGGTGACCCGGACAGTTTCAGAAATGCAGCAATTGCACACCCCACAAGCGGTAGTAACTGCATTTTGCCCAACCTGCTTGAAGCAGTTTTTGAAGATAGCGTTACATTATATCTGTGAAGATATGATAAGTCACATTCGTTCCTTCTGTCTGAAAATATAAATGATGATGATGACAGTGGCGAGTGCAAAAAAGTCCACGCTACGTGACGCGTCAAAGGTTTCTTGAAATTAAACGGCTGAGAGCGGTCTATACGGGTATTGCAAGACCCAGACAGGACTAGCCGCTGAGCTGAAGGTTAACCCGTGTCCGGTCGGTACCTATCGATCGTTGAGATAGTGCGGACGCCTGTACAGATGTTTGTGATCGTTATTTGTTATTAAGGGTACTATTATTTTTTGTTGTCACATGTGTAAGCTCGAGAATAACACTGACCTCACGGCTGATCGAGGAGAGACGAAGTGTGAACAGTAAGAATCTTCGCCCTCGAGGTAGGCGAAAGAGGTCTTATCTCAACTTCCATGTATGTGATGACCCTGCTTTGCATGGTCCTCACGATTACATAGTGGCAAGCAGAAAGTCCATGCAACAAGGGACAGCACGAGATACTTGTGCCTAGTCGAGGAAGCGAGGGAAAGCCCGAGCTAGCCTCGTGGTCAGTCGATCATCAGAAGTCAGAGAAGACGGTTGTAGTATTTGAAGATGTCGTCTTTATGTTGCGCAAATGTTTAATGTTCGAATATGTCGCGAGTGATACAGTGTGAATAATGTTTGAACATGTGAAATAAATGGACCAGAATAACCTGACAGATTGCACAATGAAGCTGAGCGGCGTTTGTGTTGTCAACCCTAGACGTTAAAGCTGGTGCAAACCAAGGTTTATTTCAAGGTGCAAACATGTGATAAAGCAGCTTGGCTTGCGAGGAAACGAGCGCAAACGATTACTAAAACAACTGGGCGAAGCTGCTTAAAGGGCTTTTGAGCTGGCTCTGGACACAACGGAACGTCGTGGGGGACAGACCTCGGTAGACTGATCCGGGTGTCTAGTCAAAAAGACAGTCTTATCCCTTAAGTCCATCGTGTCCGAATTGTCTACCAGTGTCCCTCTGCCAGTTGCCAACAAAGTCTAACATGTGTCCGATAAAAAAGAAAAACCGAAAGCTTCCTACTAGGTCGTCAAGGTATGCCGACTGACATAATAGGCTACCCCAGTGACTATAAATAAACTTCGAATCTCACAGTACCTGTTGCATAGTCACCATTTTTGTCTTGTCCCAGTCCGAGAAGATCCGGTAATACGTGCAGCAGGAGCAAATCAAGCCTGAGCTTCGTGAACTCAGGTGGGCTCACCCTCTGAAATTGAGTTATGAGTTATGAGGTAGATTATCTTCACAGCACCCCGGACACATCCATAGGCGCTCAGATTCCTCTCTCGACATATTCATCAGCGTCGTACGGTTAATACTACCAGTCCTATGTTGGTTAACACGAATTAGTGTACGTCTAGTGTACTTCTCATGCTTGGCTGTGCCGATCCTTACTCCCAATTCGCATATTCTTAGCAGTGATGTGGACACGTTGCTTCCAAAATCCTCAGAACGTCCTAACTCTCTAAAGGCATTGACAATGTCTGCGTGATCCATGGGTCGGCCATCTTCAAATAATGCAGCACCTGCCAGTCTATCAGCTCTCTCATTACCAACGCCTTCATGCCATAGGACGAATATGAAAGTAACTGCACAAACAAGAGAATTTTGCAACGACTCAAGCCACTGTCTGCGTAACCAGCCTGCCTCGATCCGCCGGATTATGTTCTCAAAGAATGACTCAGCACACACACGCGGAATAGTCCTGTGATCCCAGCCACATGAAAGCTTGTGTCACGGCCATCACCTCCATCGTCAGGCACAGCTGGCTTTCTTAACTGCTCTGTCTGAAGAGCGAGCTGTAAATGCCCATGCACTCCTATGTCCACGTATAACGGACCCGTCTGTGAAGAAGATCACCACATCTGTCTCACCGGACTTGTCACTGATAAGCGCGCATACCTCGGCATTGACAGCAGCTGGATTCTGCTCCTGACAATTCCTATCGAGCGTCACGACACAGGAAAATGTGAGATTGGGCGCTTAAGACTCTGGTATCCACTCCTCACCTAGATGGATGTCTGTAAGGCTGCAAACTTGCACGATGTCCTCTTCTGCCCTACCTAGCTATGATTTGCCCCTTTTAAGCCTATTGCCCTTTTTCTTGAAGTGCATTTGGTGCAAAGGGTGCTTCAGATCTGAGCTTATCTTGAGGTATGCACAAGCCCTCCAGATCTTGATCCTGTAGTTCATGGTAGGGAAGTCAAGAAGGTACCTCATTGCTACACAAGAGGTGTCTCTAGTGCACCCTAGAATAATGCGCATTGCTTCATTTTACACCTTCTCAAGTCTTTCAATTTGAGTATGGCTGACAGTGAGGATTGCAAGAGCATATTCGATGGAAGAAAGTACCTGGAACAGAAGCAGAAGCAGTCTCTGCTCAGTGTTAGCGGCAGCCAGAATCCTCATTGCTGACAGGCCTTTGCGTGTTTTTGTTATGACATGGTCTACATGTTCTTGAAGGATAGGCTGCGATCAAACCTCACTTCAAGGTATGTCATCAGATTTGTTCTCGTCAAAATCTCCTCGCTGTTTTCCACTGCTGGTAAGTCTGTCTTCACTATTTGCGTGTTCAAGGGAAACCACGTTACTGAGGCCTTCGAAGAGTTGACATGAGCATTAGAAACCAGGAGGAGATGCGATTAAGTTCACTCTGCATTGACTTAGCAATCTCTTGACGATCTCTTCCATGTCATCAGCAAATGACAAGGTCTTGCCATTCCCGTGCAACTACTGCTCAGTTATCAGCACTGTGTACACGTTGAATAGCACTGGTGTCAGCGGGGAACTTAAGGCAATCCTGGGCTGATGGTTATTGGTTCTACGTTTTTCTCGAAACTTCTCAGTTGTAATATTGTAATCGTAACCTAGCTCTGCTTTTTTATACAACTCTGGAAGTGTTGACTTAACTCTAAATCTGGCTGCCTCATCTTTCTGGTCTGTCTGGTCCAAGTAGCGCTGGAAGAGAGCCTGCCCTTTATCTGCATCAGATTTCTGCCATGTCATATCTGAGCTTTGAAAGTCAGGGATACCCCGACGTTGTGTGGTGCCATTCATTGCCCGATAAAGTCGCCAAAATGCTGCAAGAGACCCTTTAGAGCACACCCTCTTACAGTAATCGTCCCATTTATCATTTTTGACCTGCTTTACACACAGCTTGAAAGCTCTAAAATTGTATGCGAGATCGTTGGCTGAAACAATTGTGGATGAGAGATCTCTTCTACTGATGATTGGTATACTCCTGCTGTACATGCTCCCCTGTGGAGTTCTTCTTATTGTTGGAAGGTTTGGACTTTTCATTGGGATTTGGTGTATAATTCAGAGTGCTCTAATTGAGTATATTTAGTGGAGACAAGGCGGTGAGAGTCCAACACTTTATTTGCCACTGTTGAGAGGAAACCGTCCCACTGCGAGAACGTGAAGGTTCTCGTTGGAGTTCTGATTCACGACTGTATGTCGGTGAGAATTGGTAAATTGAGATTCAAGTCAGTTATTTTTCTGACTCGCGTCGAGTCAGGGAGACTTGGTGTGCCGGGTTTAAAGTCTCTAGTCAGTTATTATGTAGAGGTTATTGGTGACCCAAAGTGTGGGCACTTAACCGCGACGTCTGTTAAAGGGTACTGGCGACCCCAGGAGTGGCCCGTAGGTCGAAGGTGTTGATGTTATGAACTCACGTTAAGTCGAGGCTAGGTGCCTCCCTTTGAGGTGATGCCGCTTTTGGAAGTATACCAATAGGTATCTGTGGGTATTAGACGGACATCATCATCAGTTCTCGTTATGCCTAGTGGCATATGAGGCTTCAGAGAGGACTTTCCATGCTTTCCTGTCCTTTGCAATCTTCAGTGCAGTTTTCCATGTCAAACAGGCCGCACTCAGGTCACTTTCCATCGTTCGATTAGGCAGACAGTAGTTCTGTAATTACCAATTCATAATGTGTTCGCTCACAATAAAGAGACTGATGCACTGTTACAGAGATACCTTGTAATGTGATCATGTTGACACTGTTACAGAGATACCTTGTAATGTGATCATGTTGACACTGTTACAGAGATACCTTGTAATGTGATCATGTTGACACTGTTATCAGTGTTGAACGATGTGACTTTGTTTACCTGTGTTATCTCAGCACTCTCCTGTAGGGAATCCAATTAGTCGTCGAATATATATATATATATGGATGAGGCAGAAATATTCAGCTCCAAATACTTTGCAAGATATACGGTCCATACCCCGGACCGCATACATCACATTCCATATGCCCTCTGTACCATACAGTTTTGTCTTCCTTGTGGTTAGAACAGACAAGACTGTGTCTGTTGGCAACATACAGTTGACAGTGTTGGAGCACACATTTTCTGCTGCCAACCTACAAGGACACTTCTCCGTGTCATAACGTGCACAAAAACCTAACAGTTTATGTTTGACATTTACAGGGCCGGTGACAGTTTTCACCCTCGTGCTCCTTGCCCTGCCTCTTGTGATGACTGCCATTGGTGAGTATAGAGACATCATTGTCTAGTAGCCAGCAATACCGTTTATGACATATGTGTCCTGTCTTTTCTAACATCACAATGTCTATTATAATATGTTGCTGTCTGTGCGCTGCTGACATAGCGCTGTTGTCGTCATCCTCAGTTGGGTCTCAGTCACAACATATGATGTGTCGTAGCCAGTGTATATTCCTTGTCATTTTTCCTTCTCACACAGCTTTCATTATAATTTTGACAATTACCCATTTTTATGGAACGCGTTTTTATGGAATTTGAGTAGACGACAGAGAGAGGGGGAGAGAGAGAGAGAGAGAGAGAGAGAGAGAGAGAGAGAGAGAGAGAGAGAAGAGAAGAGATGGGAGAGAGAGAGTGGAAGGAGGAGGGAGGGGGACAATGAGGTAATTGTAGAGATAAAATTCGTATGTCTCTACTTGTGATTGAACCTAGACAACTGACTTGGAGGTCAAACACATTATTCACAAAACAACATCATAGAAAGTGACTTAAACACATGAAGAATAGAGCTAGAGATGTGTGAGTAAGACTGTGTTAGGGAATGAAGGAAATGAATAAGACTGCAAACGATACAAGGGCCTGGCGTGAGTTGAATGTCTACACTAAACTAGAAGTTGAAAGCCAAAAATTCTGACATAAAGGAACAACAGGGACTTTCGCCAGAGTTTACAGAGAGCCAGAACCAGCAAAGAAGAATGTCAGACTAATTAGAATCCTGCCTACATTTATCAACATCTGTAGCGATTTGTTCTTGGTAATGATGTTGTTATTTTTGTTTTGGTCGTCATCGTCGTTTGTCGTCAGAATTTAAAAGTTAACCATCAAACTGTTGTCTAAGTTTTATGTCATGAAACAGTAATGCGTGTGTATAAACCTTGATCTCTTCTCCTTCAGGTGTTAACTACTTGCACGAGTGCCCCCGAGAACCAAAGCTGCCCATTTATCTTGTTGTCGGTGGATGTTTCGGCATCATCAAGCTGATCTTCTTGCTGTGGAAACAAATAAAGAGACATCGTGATGACGTAATAGATCTCCATGACGACGACGATTTGCTTACAATGACACGAATGACTAATATGGCTTTAAATGTCTTCCTCTCTGTGTGGTTTGTGTTCGGACATTACTGGTTGATTCGGATATGGAAGCCTCACTTCCATGCGCCTCTGCACGAGCCTCGGAATTGGTGTGACGAAACAGTATTTCTCTTCACCTTATGGCAGCTGGTTATCTGTCACATCATCATTAGCATCGTCGTCCTTGTTGCCGTCATACTGTATTGCTGTTTTGTTTGTGTCAAATGTTTCCTGCATGACGACCATTCTCAGAGTCAACAAGATAAACCGGATAACAAGAAGCAAGACTGCAAAAGATAGCTTCTATTAACGCTGTTTTTGAGTTGTGTGTGAAAAAGCGTCCGCTTACGCTGTTCTGTTGGCATCAGTCAGAAGGAATGGTAATATTGTTACTTTACCTATGACGTATTAGAAGAAATAATTTTCTTATCATCGGCGCAAAACTCAACACATTACTTGTTGGGCTGAAGTAAGAAGCCTTATCATACATTACTTGTTAGATTTAAGTAACAACCCATATTATACATTACTTATTAGGCTGAAGTAACAAACCATTTAATACATTACTTGTTAGGTTGAAGTAAGAAGCCATATCATACATTACTTGTTAGGTTGAAGTAAGAACCAATTTCATGCATTACTTGTTAGGTTGAAGTATGAATCCATATCATACATTACTTGTTAGGCTGAGGTAAGAAGCCATGTCATACATTACTTGTTAGGTTGAAGAAGGAACCAGTTTCATACATTACTTGTTAGGCTGAAGTAACAACCCTTGTCATTTTCTATTTTTCGATAATAATGGGATTTATAGTGTGTATTATACTTTCATTTTTAACATAAAACAAATCGCACATGTGATTTCGGAGACCATGTTTCACTAATGTTGTGTATAGTGTACAGTTTTCGTACTAATATCCCTGAAAGCATAAGTCTGTGCCAACCTGTACGTACACTCACATTATGACTGAACAGTCATGTGTTTTGGCATGGGTATTGCTATACTCTCGTATCTTCATTGTTTGCCTATCATGTGTGTTGAAGGTTTAAAGAAGCTAGTTATCTGTTAGTCCTACAGTATAAATCTAGTCTGCAAACTTCTTGTGTGAGTGTGTGCGCGCGCGCGTATGTGTGTGAGTGTGTGGGAAGTGGGGGGGGGGGGGGGGGGTAGAAAAATAGTCACAGTAACTGAGACTAGTGTGGCTCGGCGTTTGACTCTCACAATTCACACTTTGACAGAAGTCTCTTGAACAGTTATAACGACAGGAATTGGCTGCCGGCAGAGAGTCAACAACGACAAAAAGTGCAGTTAGAAACGGTTGTCCACCCTGTTATCAAACACCTATGTCACAGTTCCTCACTGTGGTCTTCAGTGTGTTTTTGTATCGCTTTTAGGCCCTTAAAATTCCATGTAGATGCCGCGGTAGTCCAGTGGCTTGACGCTTATTTGAGGACCCGTTGATGTTGGGTTCAAATACCTACTGAGCGGAATTTTTTTAGTTTCAGTAACCTTGGCTGTCAGGTTGAACCATGGGAGACACTGGAAGAGAGGTTTATAGACATATGTCTGGCCCTGATCCTAATGACAGCATTAACCATCTAACAAGAAGGGACCAGGCCACCATCTTCAGACTTAGAACGCAACATACTCCACTCAATGGACACCTAAACAGAATACAGCCACAACACTCCCCAGAGTGCCAGCTATGTAACTACCCCTACGAAACTGTTGAACACCATCTCTTTGAGTGCCCAAAACTCAGTGAGACAAGAAGAACGCTACTCCCTCCGAGACCAGACAAGTGGAACACCTTGTACGGAGGAAAAGAACAGCTTGTGAAAACATGCAAATTCCACTACATGGCATTGGGCCAAAGGGCGAAAGCTCATGCGCCGCTGGATCGATAACAACAACAACAACAACCAGCCTAAAAGTACCAGATATAGTTCGGGGACACACAGGCATTCTTTGTCTGATTACCAAAACCATCATCGAGTACACACGAGACATCATCAAACCAGGAATTTGTGGCCGCAAAACAAATGTGTGTTCCCAGCCATCCTCACTATGCCTGTGATTATTGTTTATTCCTAAAATTGGTGTTACCATTAAATTGACTCTTTTTTGACGATATCTATGACATCCAAAGAGTCGTAACATTGAATTTAAGGGCCATAGCAACAGAAGACTTACAGAGGTCGTTCCAGTGTTTGTTAGATCGTGCTACTCACTGTATCAATGCACAATGGGCTTACTTTTACTAAAATCAGGTTATATCTTCAACTGTTGTTTTTTAATTTTTTTATGGAATTAGTGTCATTACTTAATTGTCGAACCTTGTAGTTCTAAACTCACGGACACTCGGTGGGTGATGTGGTCAACATCGCGCCAGTCGCCTTTACTTCCTAGGATCGTACCTCGCTCCAAGCTTGGTCTTGATCGACGAGTGCGGGGCAGTCGAGAAGTCGCAGCCGTGCGTCAGGCACGAAAAAAAAATCAGGAGGCAGAGAGACATTGAGAAGTGCTAAGCAGACAAGAACACACCCAGTAAACAGTTCAAAGCCGCAACAGGCAGCGAACGGGAGGGTCTGTACGAGGTCTGGCTGCACGTGAAGAGCACAGTGCCCCCTGTCACGGCGAGCGTTTCTGTAAGAACAGACGGAAAACCGAAAAGGGAGAATTAGATGCTCTGTATGGTTCCGTTCCAGTTTGCCTGAGGCCTGTTCGAGCAACCAAAGTCTAGGACTCTGGTAGTCAGTAAAGAGGAACTGGAGTCACATCTACTGAAGTTGTACTGCGATCGGACTTAGGGACTAGGAATGAAACTTTCGATGACAACCCAGAAATCACAAGTGGCCTAAAGCGGCCAGAGTTGCCTCCTTCTTGGTCTGAGGTCGAAGAAGTTGTGAAGAGAGCCAGCGGCAAATTTGCCCCAGGACCCAGCGGTGTACCGTCAGTGGTGTATAAACGCTGTCCGAAGGTCCTCCGAATGCTCCACCGCTTGCTAAGATTAGCGTTGAGCCGTAAGCACATAAGTACGGAATGGGAGAGAGCCAACGGAGTCTACATTCACAAGGAACGAGACTACCTTAGTCCATACCAGTACAGACCTATAGCGCTGTTGAACGCTAAGGGCAAAATATTCTTCCTGGTTATGGCACGCAGGCTCACGCAGTATTTGGTGGCAAGCGAATACATGGACACAATGGTTCAGGAAGATGGAATCAGGGCGTTTCCGCGTGCCTTGAGCACGCGACCATGATCTGGGAGAGTATTCATAGAGCTAAGGCAGAGAGAAGCAATTTGTATGTGATACGGTAGGACGTCGCCAACGCCAATCGGGCGGTATCCCATAAGCTATTGTGGCAGGGCCTTCGCATGTTCCACGTACCGAAACAGGTCACCGAAATGATCGAGTAATATTTCCAAACGTTCGCCATAAGCTTCTCTACCCCGACGTTTACTACGAGAAGGACTGAACTCCAGGTTGGGATAGCAATGGGATGCACGATTTCGCCGATACTGTTCGTAATGACCATGCAGGTCATGTTAGACGGAGCTGCCGGCTACAGGCAAGGCGGTCAAAACATTGGTGACCGCTGGATGCCGCCACTGCGTGCCTTTATAGATGACACAGCTATCATAACGAGCAGTGAGGATGAAGCCCGCACGATTCTGAAGATGTTTGGACCGCCATGTAGAATTGTGTGGCTTGTAGTTTCTACCGCAGAAATCAAGTTTGTCAATCCTTAAAGGTAAGGTGGCGGCAACCAGTTTCACACTGGCAAGGAAACGGATCCTGGCAGTTTTTTGAGTAAGTCACCTAGGAGTGATTCCTTTTTTTTCTTTTTTTTAATAGAAAAATCTAACTGGACGTGGATGGTAAACCTGGATATTTGAGCCTGCAGACCATCGTCTAGCAGCTACACAACTTGATAACCTCATATATTTAAAATAATAGGGCATGTATAAACAAATGCTTTAAAACTAGAGATTCCACACATAGTTATAAGGCCTCTTATCTCCTTAGAAATTACTTTTTTTATTTAATTTATTTAAAAAATCAGGGGTGTGTAGCTTTGAAGAGCGAGAGATCGATGTTCTTGTTGGATTGTTTAGACAAACACTGTCCTTGTGGCTTTGGACAGAAGTACCAGAGTCTGTCCATGGAGGAGGATGGGTCCTCACCGCCTATTATTACAAACACAGCGATGGATCTACATATCAGCTACAGCCAACCTTCAGTGTAAAAACTGCACACAATTAGATAGAAACACGTAACAACTGAAGCTTACTCAGTGGGAATCTGTAGGAAAGAATCTGAAGTTTAACTATTCGTTGTTACAGAGAGGCCAGAATAATCTTAGCATATTATTTTATCAGAAATCTTGTCCTGTCACCTACTCCATTTACTCCTACATATCGACTGCAGTGAGTACATTTCATTATTACGAGTTATATGAAAGCAGCCTGATTCATTGCTTTAAACATGATAAAATATTATGTTATGATGTTGCTGGTTATCAGCACAATCAAGATCGTTTACCAAAACAATAAACCTGTTAAAAATCAGGTCTACTGAAGTGGTTTAATATGTCCCCTGACATAAAACTAACAGCCTGCACAAAACTAACATAAATGGAATTACAAGATCAGAACAAGAACTCTACTGTGGTTGTTAAAGATGGGGATCCAGTCCGTATGGGAATGCCCTGAGTCCTGTGATGTGGGTGGTTCTTGACTCGGATCAACGCTACAAAAAGCTTTTCCATTTCCACAGTCGTTTTATTCTTTAAACTGATACAAGTTATACTGCAGCTAATGTTGTGAATGTGAAATAGTGCTGCTTTATATATTTTTTATTGTCATTCGTTCAGGAATGTCAACAACAACAAAAGTTTACCATTTAAATGACTCACACATACACACAAATATAATAGTATACAGAATGCAGAAATACACAGTGTTAGCTATTTTGTATGAGAAACTCTCTGATACCAGTAGACAAAGAGTATTATAGTTTACATGTAACATTATTTATGCTGTTGAATAAGATGAGGGTACAGTTGAGGGGATGGCTATAAACGGCAGCATCAGCCCAGCCGCTAGAACGTGGTTGCTGAACGTGGTGTGCACCAAATCAAGAACGCAATTATCTGAGGTGTCAATAATCAGTGACCGAGCTCACTAAATATAGATACGGCAATAACGGCCTCTTATCGAGCACTCGATACGTAACATTTTTTTAAAAATTTGCAAAGCTATTGATCATCTTGACAAGTGCCTCCGTGCCTGTAAT